GCATGAGGCGGCCTTATGCGGCAAGACGGAGGTCGTGCGCCTCCTCCTGGATGTAAGAACCCTGCCCTGGTCCGCTTGCAGGAATGGCGGGGAGAGGGAGGGCACAGAAGTTGGGGGGCCGCCCCTCTCTTGTGCCAAGGTACAGAGCTTGGTGAGGGTTCCCTGAGCTCCAGAGAGCCGGTGCCCTCCCTGGATGGCATCTTCAGGCTCTTCCTTGCCCTCACTAGCCTCGCCACAATCCCAGATCTCCATTTTCCTTGTCTCAGGCAGCTCACCCTATTCCCAACCCCTGTCTGTTTTCGCAGAGCGGAATCAACGCTCACATCCGAAACACCTACAGCCAGACGGCGCTGGACATTGTCAACCAGTTCACGGCCACCCAGGCCAGCAGGGAGATCAAGCAGATGCTCCGAGGTGAGGATAAGGGATTTCGGCTGTGATGCCTGCATTAAAGGGGGTTGGACTAGATGACCCTCGGAGCCCCGTCCAACTCTACGGTCAGTCTAAAGTTGGCCGCACGTGAGTGGAGGTGTTCTGCCTTCTCCCCTCACACAAATGTAGCCTGCAGAACGGGAGATGACACAGCTGGCCTCCCTGGCAGGGCTGTTGTTGCACAGCTCTTTTATTGAACTGGATTGTACCCAACTCATTTTATGCCCGGCCATTAGGCCCATTGAGGTTAATGGGCCTCCATTAGCCGTGTTTCATGTTAATTTCAGCAGGCCTATGTGGGATCCAACCCACTTAATTTTGTATCTCTTAGATCCAGCATTTCCTCTGGATCAGAGCACCAGGCTGCTTACAACACAGCTGCTTATTATTATTATTATTATTATTATTATTATTATTAAATTTATATGCTGCCCTTCTGACTGGGTTTTCCCTGCCACTCTGGGCGGCTTCCAACAAAATATTAAAAGCACAGTAAAACATCAAGCAATAAACGTCCCTATACAGGGCTGTCTACAGGTGTAGTATTAAATTAAACTGTAATATTAAATTTAAAATAAAAAACTGGAATGAAATCATACACCCTTTATATAAAAACAGGAACATGGAACCTTAAACCCTAATCAGCATCAGGATAATCAGGCTACAAAGGCCTCAACAAATAAATAAAGCTAATGTGGAGGTTTGACATATCTCATTCTGGTGGTGCTTGGGGAGTCCCATAAGGGGAGGGGGGCAGGCACTGAGAAGGCCTTGCCTTAAGTTGCTATCTTGCCTATCACAAGGAGGGTCTCTCTGACAGACCTTAAGGCCTTCTCTTTCCTTCACTTTGGAGCATGCAGCTTTGGGGTTGTGAATGTGAGGCCCTTTCAACAGTCAGAAAATGATAAACGCCAAATATAAGAGGAATGGCGATGCCACGGCGCTCTATCTCCCTCTAGTGTGTTTTTAAGCTAATGTAGGTGCTTTCTCTAAAGTCCTAAAATCACGTTGTAGGCATTCTCTCCCAGTCATCATCACAACAGCCACCTGTTTTGATTGTTTATACCCATTTCGCTTCAAAGAGAACGAAGGAAATCCAGGTTGCCAGACGCCACCTAGCGGGTTTGTGGGCCTCATTTCCAGCCCCTTTCACTAGCTCTGTAGTTACCTCAGAATTGGGAATCTCGCAGTTTATAAACATAGGTTTCAGGAAGCGGTTTGCAATGGGCGAACCATTCGTTTTCCAAGTGGGTTTAATCTGTAGAGCAGAGAGAGAAACTCACCCCAAATTTGGCTGTTCCCAGGTGAGTCTCTTCTCTGAATGTTCCTAAATGCTGGGAGCTGGAGGGCGATACCTGTGCAACGCCTCATTTTAGGGAGGCTTCTCTGGAAGAATTCTTAGCCAATTACACACTCCCATCTTAATTAACACAGGGCAGGAGAAGGGATGCCGGAGAATTCCGACGAAAACAGAAACGGGAGCCCAGATTGCCCATGTTTACTTAATTGCCCCATTTATGGAACAGAAGTTAACCCAGCAAATATAGTTGGCATCTGCTGTTGTTGATTTTAGTCCTCAGATTATACACACGCACACACCCCACCACCATCACCAATTTGCATTCCTTTGCATTGAAATGAACAGGGTGGAATGAAAAAGTAACTTACGCAATTACACAAGTTATGTAATTTTGAAACAACAGGATGAACAATGTAATTTGGGGCAAAAGGTGAGCTGTAGGAGAATGAAACAGTGTTGTGCGTGACATGTGCAGGGCAGAATGGGAATTGGCGCCTTCTTCCCTCCCTAGTCAGAAGAGGTCGTCAGTTGGATTTCTCTGCCTCGGTTTCCCCAAATGTCTTCAGCCAGGCAGATGTCAGGCTGGCAAGGTCTGATTCGTTTTTTTGCTAGAACACAAACATCTACCACCTGGAACAGGTGCAAAAGATCTACAGCTATAGCATTAAAGAGTGAGGCACCTCTGAGCATGTTCTGAGTGCAGGGTTTTGCTTTCAGAACCAGCGCTCACAATCCTTTCACACAAACAACCTCTCCTGGGTTACCAATTTACTTTGCTTTGGTTTTCCTGTTGCTAAAAAATGGGAAGCTGCAAATCAATCCTCTTCCATTTATTTACTGTTCATTATTACATTTATATGCCATCTTTCCTCTGAGGAGCTCCAAGAGGCACCTACGGCTCTACGTTCTTATTTGCACAACAACCCTGTGAAGTAGGTCTGGCTGGCAGACTGTCCTGTGGTCACTCAGCAAGTTCCATGGCTGAGAGTGAACTCTGGTCGCCCAGGTCTTAAGCTACAACTCTTACCACTACACCACACTGCCTTTTACTGAAAATCACCCAGATCTGCCCCACTCCTTGGTCAAGTAAAGCTGTGCCTTTAAGCATGTACAGAGTACCCATCTGCCACCAACACACAACCTCTGCTGGCCCTGCCAAGGGTTCAGAGGAAGGGTCCCTGGGTGGAAAAGTCCTGCTTCCCTGTAGCCTTGAGCCCCAGCGCCTCTTTCGCTAGAATGCATGCAACTGCCTCCTCCTCCTCCTCCTTTACCTTTGTCTCTGCCTAGATGCTTCCGCCGCCCTGCAGGTCAGGGCCGTGAAAGATTACTGCAACAACTACGACCTGACCAGCCTCAACGTCAAAGCTGGGGACATCATTACAGTGAGTTTGCCTGTTGTCCTGGGTGTTGGGATGCTGCTAAGGAATCGGGGGCAATTGGCAAGCCCCCAGCTGGCTCCAGCCCACCGGCCAACGTGCCGGCCGAACACCAGTCCTTGGTGCAGCATGAATCTGCGACCCAGAGCTTCAGAAGCTGGGCACACAACTGAGTAGAGTAAACACACAACAGAAGTGCAGGGAGAGGCTGTGTAAAACATATTTACAAGCAGTTTATACAGCATACATCAGGACAAGAGGAAAAACGTGTCTTCTCCCCTTCGTGTCCAAGCAAGCAGCATAAGCTATATGCATACGGAAGTTCCCAGCAAGCTGTGCTTGAGTGTAAACAGGCATGTGACACACAACAGTCATGCCTGTCCCTCTTAAGGTGGAACGGAATATTCTAACACTGGGCTGACCAAGTCAGGAATGGGAGATAAGCTGAGGACCCAGAGGAGTACTCCAGCCAGATGTGGGGGCCTCTGTCGGGAATGCAGGAAGCGGCTAGTGAGGATCCGAGAGGGGGCAGGGGCTTCCCTGGTCTCCTTCATCTGCAAGGGGAGCCAGGAGAGAACTCCCTCTCCCTCTCTGTCACCTCTGACATGCTCACCCCAGCACCATTGGACACTGGGAGTGTCCTTGCCTGCCCAAAGGGGGATGTTGCACCAGACATGGCCACATCTCAGGAGGCAGAGACGCCTCCCTTGTCACCTGTGTCCAGAAGGAGCCAAAAGGAAGGGAACAGAGGACTCTGCTCACTAGGGGTAGCAAGCCATTGCAGGAATGCTTTCGGCCTGCATGGTACGACTGTGTCGTATGCACAATTAACTTGTGCAAGTCCAACCTTGGGGCCAGCTTAGCCCGGTGGTTCCATTGACCAACACATTTCTTGGATCTTCCAATTGCCTACAGCGATTTGAAACCTGCCGGCGCTGCTTGGCTTAAAAAACCCCCACACCTTGCGTGGTTAAAAGCTGGCCAATTAAATGCAAGCAAAAAGAGCTTTTAAGCTCTCCACCTTGTTTCCCAGGCAAGCCCTGCTCAGGGGTGCTCTCGCAAAATCTTGTGGGAATTTGGGCAGCCCCGCAGAGTCTGCACCCCGAGCGAGACTTGTCCAGTAATCCAGGTGGAGAGCTTTTACGCTCTCTACCTTGCTGATTGCTGGGGAATGAGAGGGGGTAAAGCCAGGTTGGTGCATCGGCTGTGGAAGATAAGGATGCTTATGCAAGTTCAAATATAGGTGTTTTTGTGTATGTGCACCATCACTGGAATGTAGCCCCTACTCAAGATGTGATGGTACCATACATAGGATATCCTGGGAGTCCAACCTCCCTCTCCATGTTGGACAGAGCCTCTCTCTGACATGCCTTCCCCAGGTGCCCTTGGATACTGGGAGCATCCCTGTCTGCCCAGAGTGGGATGTTTCACAGGTCCTAGACACCTCTCAGGAGATGCCTCCCCCATCACTTAGGTGCAGGAGGAGCCCAAAGACAAGGTAGCAGAGGGTTCCACCCACCAGGCAAAGTGAGAGATTGCAGAAATGCTTTCAGCTTGAGGAACCTGCCCGTTCCTATATATAGGATAGCCAAAGAGTGTGAGTGTCGGATCAACATCCATAGCTTTGCCAGTTAGAGCACCTGCTGCTATTGTAGCTGTATTTAGGATTAGCCACCTGCATTGCCTGAAGTGCCTGAAGCCAGCCATCTGCTTGTGGACTGCAGTAATCTAAGCATTAGAGTTTTTGGAAAAAGCTCTTCAGCCTTGGCAGTGCACTGTGCAAAGGGGGTCTGTTCTGGGCCAAAGACAAGGCCTGGTTGAGATGTGGCATCCTCTGGATGTTGCTGGATCCCATCTCCTCTCATCCCTGATCCTTGGCCAGTGCTGATGGGACCTGGAATAGCTCAGTCGGTAATGCATGAGATGCCTAATCTCAGCATCATGGGTTCGAACCCCACATTGGGGCAGACGATTCCTGCATTGCAGCGAGTTGGACTAGGTGACCCTTGTGGTCCCTTCCAACTCTGATTCCATAGTGATTGGCTCAATGTTAACCAGCCCAGGGTGTGAATTAGAACCCAGATCTCTCCCCAAGTCCTATTATGAAACATCTGGAGGGTCCTACCCTGGTTTCCTCCTCATTCAGAGCATTTATGTCCAGGATGGAAAAGCTTTTTGCCAGCCTGGGGGCCACATTGCAATCCAGGCTGTTGGGGGGAGGGCACATGATGGGTGGGCGTGGCCAGAGACAAAAAGGGCGGAGCAAGGAATGCACATCTTACCATAGGCTGGTTTCTACGTGGACCAGCTCCCCCCGGCACACAACTGAGGAACTGCAGTTAGGACACTATGGAGTTAGTAGGGAAGACTTTTTGAGTTAGGGGGCTGGGGCTTGGAGGCCGTCTCGAGGCCTTGAAACATCCCAGGCTGGGTGGCGGCATCTTGTTCCCATGGGCAACCTGTTGTCAAGGCCCTGGAGCAACCTACTTTGAAGGTGGCCCATTACTTGGTCCCCCCCCCTTCTCTACTAACCCCCCTCTACCCTCCCAATTTCCCAGGTCTTGGAGCAGCACGCCGACGGTCGGTGGAAAGGCTGTATCCACGACAACCGGACCGGCAATGACCGTGTGGGCTACTTCCCTTCCACCCTCGTCGAAGCGATCAGCAAACGAACAGGCAAGACTTCCTCCCTATGTGGGTTATTCTTCTCCTATCGCTTTCTACCTGACCTGCCTCATTCTTGAGGTGCGAGGCCCTTTGCAGACGGAGACCCCGGAGTTTTCTGTTCATTGCCATAAAGCAAATCAGTAAGGGGAAGTTCGGAGCGGAGGCAATTCCGATTCTGCACCCTGAATGGCTGTTCTTTGGGAATGCCAGGGAGGTTGTAGCATACGCAGGACCTTTGAGCTCCTCCTGCTGAGGCCCACCCAATTTCCATGGCTCTCTTCAGCTATGATTCCTGCATTGCAATGGGTTGGACTAGCTGACTTCGGGTCCCTTCAAATTTTAACAATTATGACTCTTTGCAGCTGGCTGGGGCAGGAAGTGCAGATGTGGTTTCCATAGGATCACAGGCTGGCTCAGTAGAACATCTGCATTGCATACAGAAAGGTTGGGATGGGAATGTCCCCTGCCTGAAGCCCTGGAGAGCTGCTGCCAGTCAGTGTCGACACTACTGAGCTCGATATACCAAGCTAGACCTTTGGTCTAAGGCAGCTTCCTACATTCCTAACGGGAAGGGCAGTAGCATGTATAAGGTCTCGGGTTCAATCCCTGACGTCTCTAGGTAAGACTGGGAGAGAGCCCCATCTGAACCCCCAGAGAGCCGCTGCCGGCCCATGTAGGCAACACTGAGCTAGGTGGATCAGTGAAGGCAACACTGAGCTAGGTGGACTCAGTGAAAAGCAGCCACACAGGAAACGGTTGGGGAAAGTCTCCTGTCCCAAACCCCAGGGAGCTACTGCCAGTCAGTGCTGACAGTATGAAGCTAGATGGGTCTGACTCCCTATCTTCCAACTTTGATAGGCAGCTTAAAAATCACCTTCCTCCTCCTCCTTCTCCAGGTCTGCAGGACCCATTTCACGGTTTGCCTCTTGTTGTTTCTATTGCCAGGTCCGTGGGACGCTGGGCCTTACCCTGGGCAGTTTCAAGCCATCTCCCTCCCAGCTGGAGGGGCCTCGGTGCCTAACGGCCATTCCTGCTTCTCCTTCTCCTCCTCCTCCACCACCACCACCTCCTCCTCCCATCATCAGGTCCATTTCCTGCCTCCACCTCCACCAAACCCCCACCAGCCTCTTTTCAGTTCCTTTGGCTACCGCCGGCTCCCCCACGGCGCTGTGGAAGGGCCTGGCGCCATCCCAGGTAGTCTGTCCTGCATCGCTTCGTTTGCTTCTGATTTGTGCTTTTGTCATGTTTTTGCGTTGCTCCCAGGGGGGTTCCTGCATTCCTCTCATTCCCCGTCCTCATCCGGGTTCTGCTCTCTATGTGTGCATGCGTCCAAGGATGTGGGTCAGGTGTCGAAAGAAAGTGTGGCTGCATAAGGAGCCTTCTGAAGAGCCGAGGTTTGAAAGGGGCACATATAAACAAAGTACACTAGTAGGACTGCAAGAAGTTTTGTAGGGAGAAATATATGAAATATTGCAAAGAAGATAAAGGAGAGAGACATTAGTTATGATATTTAAATGTAATAGTGGAAGTATGAAATGTAAATTAAGTGGAAAAGATTGGAAAATTTTCAGATGTGATTGGCAGAAGTCAAAAAATTGTATAAGATACAAAATTATATTTTATAATTACAGTGGTACCTTGGGTTACATACGCTTCAGGTTACATACGCTTCAGGTTGCAGACTCCGCTAACCCAGAAATAGTGCTTCAGAACTTCCTGACAGTAAGAGCTGTTCGACAGTGGAATTTGCTGCCAAGGAGTGTGGTGGAGTCTCCTTCTTTGGAGGTCTTTAAGCAGAGGCTTGACAACCATATGTCAGGAGTGCTCTGATGGTGTTTCCTGCTTGGCAGGGGGTTGGACTCGATGACCCTTGTGGTCTCTTCCAACTCTATGATTCTATGATTCTATGATTCTATGATTCTAGGTTAAGAACTTTGCTTCAGGATGAGAACAGAAATCGTGCTCCGGAGGCGTGGCGGCAGCAGGAGGCCCCATTAGCTAAAGTGGTGCTTCAGGTTAAGAACAGTTTCAGGTTAAGAACGGACCTCTGGAACGAATTAAGTACTTAACCCGAGGTATCACTGTATTGAAAATGATATGTTAAAAATTAATAAAAATATAAAAAAGAAAGGGGCACATATAAGAAAGGGGAAATCACAAAGGAAGAGTATACACAAGTAGCCAACACTTGCAAGGAGGAGTTCGGAAGTTTGGAACAAGCTCAGGCTTGCAGGAGAGGTTGAAAATAACAAAAAATTACAAGGCTTTACAGTAGGAAGAACTTTCTGAGGGTAGGAGCTGGTTGGCGTAGAATGGACTCTCTCGGAAGGTGGTGGACTCTCCTTCATCAGAGGTTTGTAAGTAGAGTTTGGATAGCCCATCTGTCAGGGATTCTCAGTACAGTGGTACCTCGGGTTACAGATGCTTCAGGTTACAGAAGTTTCAGGTTACAGACTCCGCTAACCCAGAAATAGTACCTCGGGTTAAGAACTTTGCTTAAGGATGAGAAAAGAAATTGCGCGGCGGCGGCGCGGCGGCAGTGGGAGGCCCTATTAGCTAATGTGGTACCACAGATTAAGAACAGTTTCAGGTTAAGAACGGACCTCCGGAACAAATTCAGTTCTTAACCCGAGGTACCACTGTATGTGGTTCCTTCATTACAGGGGTTTGGATTAGATGATTCTTGGAATAGCTTCCAACTTTACGGTTCTGATGATATGATCTGCATATTAATTTATGCAACGCCTGGTAATATCACGGTGCAAAGAGGGGCTTGCCAAGCAAAGTAAATGAAAAAGAGAGGTCTCTGCCCCAAGCAACTTACAGTCTTAAATTTTTGGCCAAGCTGAAAACTCTCCAAAGAGAATTCTTGGCTTGAAATTTAGGGTGGTTTGGAGGGCTATGAAACCCTCACACACACCCCAACCAGATCCCTGGCCTATCATCATCATTGCAGTGTTTTTCCCAGGGGGATTCTGGGAGAGGAGAGCCGGCAGCCGGTAGCTACCCAGAGGAGCAGTGATGATGATGAATGCCCTCATTGCCCCCGATTCCTATAAATAATCAATATTACACACACACTCTCTTCTGCAAATTAGATTGTGCAATTTTGGGGGCAGGGGCAGTATTTTGTGAATGATGAAAGCTTAGGACAAAACGAAAGAATGAAAATCTGGCACTCCTGAATGTATCTTAGAAAAAAATGTTCGTTTTCCAAAGGAGGCTTCTTTATTATACTCCTTGGCAAAATCTGCCTGCAAGAAGCTTCCCTTGTTCATAGAATCATAGAACTGGAGAGCTGGAAGGGACCCAAAACTCACCTATCAAGGCCCAACACCCTGATATGTTGCCACTTATGAAAGCAGATGGAAGTCCAAGGTGGTGTGTGTGTGTGTGTGTGTGTGTGTGTGTGTGTGTGTGTGTGTCAGTTTCAGGTCTAAGGTGCAGAAGGAGGGAAGTCGTTTCAGAGGAGAGTAAGAAGTGGCAAAGGCAGAACGGCTGGAGCAACTTTTGCCAACTTGGGAGTCCTTCAGATGTTCTGGACTGCAACTCCCATCACCTCCAGCATCCCAGGGCCATGATGGCTGGGACTGATGGGAGTTGTAGTTCAAAGCATCTTGAAAGCCCCAGGCTGGGGTAGAAACTGTATGGTTGCCATCAAGGCCCATTATAATACAGGATTGCCCTGTAATTCAATGTCAAGTGCTACGTCCTGTATTGATGCAGTTCTGTCCTGCATTTCAGGTCTTTCCTCTCTGACTTCCTCTCTGTGTGCCAAGTTAGGGATCCTCTCCAAATGCATGTGTTTGAATGGATGTATGAAATGGCATGTGGGTAGCTCTGGGTAGCCAAGCACAGACAGATTTACAAATTTGTTTGTGTGTGTGTGTGAGTAATGAATTGCAGAAGGGCTATCCTGTTTGGCTGCAATAAATTGCAATGGATTGCTTTGAGGTCACTTCAGCACCAGATTAAAAAAAAACAAAAACAAATGTCCCCCAACTGCTGCACCCTGTATTTTGCAAGAACAAAGGTGGGAACCCTAGACTCAGAAAAGCAGGGTGCTTAGGGGGTGCAATGAAGATCTGCAAAGGTGTGGCTTGTGTTACAGGCAGACATGGGTTGCTATGTGAGGTGTAGCATGACTTGAGTGAGGTGTGAGCCCCGGAGTGCAAATGCTTCCCTTTCCCCTGTTGAGAACCATTTTAGTGTTTGTTTTAGCACCGCTGCATCCCATCTCCTCCCTCCTCCTCTCCCTCTCCCAACAGCCCCCCCCCCCAGCGTGTGGCTCCTTGTACAAGGGGGACAAACATCCCTGTCCGTATAAATGGGTAGACCAGAAAAGTTTTGTTCTTGGTTGCTGAGCCAAGCTAGGGACTCTTCAGGGCAGCGCTGGCTCGCTCCACTTGTTAGCTTTAGCACTTTCGAGCCCCATACGTGTGGCCAGAGAACACAAATGGAGATACACACAGGATTCGCCTGCATGGTGGTTTATTTGGGCCAGCAGAGGAGCCCTGCAGTGCTGGATCAGGCCAGTGGCCCATCTAGCCCAGGCTCCTGTTTTCACAGCGGCCGGCCAGGTGTCCCCAATGGAAGCCCGCAAGCAGAACCTGAGAGCAGCAGGAACTCTCCCACCCCCACCCTCATGCATTTCTGATTTTCAGCAATTGGTGTTTGGAAACAGTGCTGCCTCTGACTGCGGTTTGTAAGCTGCTTTGGGAGATAGATGTAAAGGTAAAGGGACCCCTGACCATTAGGTCCAGTCGTGGCCGACTCTGGGGTTGCGGCACTCATCTCGCTTTATTGGCCAAGGGAGCCAGCGTACAGCTTCCGGGTCATGTGGCCAGCATGACTAAGCCGCTTCTGGTGAACCAGAGCAGCGCACAGAAACGCCGTTTACCTTCCCACCGGAGTGGTACCTATTTATCTACTTGCACTTTGACATGCTTTCGAACTGCTAGGTTGGCAGGAGCAGGGACTGAGCAATGGGAGCTCACCCCGTCGCGAGGATTTGAACCACTGACCTTCTGATCGGCAAGTCCTAGGCTCTGTGGTTTAACCCACAGCACCACCCACGTCCCAGATAGATAGATAGATAGATAGATAGATAGATAGATAGATAGATATCAATAAATCACTCTCCTTACCCTCTTGCCCCTACAATAGATCCCTGTATCTCTTGAGTATTGATTTTTGATTTTTATTGTTATTCATGTTTTTATACTGTATAACACTGTATACTGTATACTGCTTTTATAATTGTTTTAAATTTGTTGTTAGCTGCCCTGAGCCCGCTCTTTGAACCGGGAAGAGCGGGGTATAAATAAAATTTTATTATTATTATTATTGAGTACGAGATGCTAAGGGCAAAATGTAGGGGACAGGCAGCCACTGCCACCTTCATGCAATAGGTAGATAGATATCAATAAATCACTCTCCTTACCCCCTTGCCCCTACAATAGATCCCTGTGTCTCTTGAGTATGAGATGCTAAGGGCAAAATGTAGGGAACAGGCAGCCACTGCCACCTTCATGCCCTTGAAGCTCACAAAGCGACTGTGGAACTCTCTCCCACTGGAGGCCGGCATGGCCCCCAACTCAGATGGCTTTAAAAGAGGTTTGGACAAATTGGTGGAGGGGTAAGGCTGTTGAGGGCTGCTAGCCAGGATGGCTGTGCTTTGCCTTGACACTTGGGAGGCAGCAATGCTTCTGATTGTCAGTTGCTGGGATCCACAGGAAAGGAGAGGGCTCTGGCATTCGAATCCTGTTTCCCACGGTGACCTGATTGGCCACTGTGAGAACAGGATGCTGGGCTAGATGGGCCGCTGACCTAATCCTGCAGGCTCTTCTTCTGGACCTTAGTCCGTGCTGGGGGGGGGGCAGGGTGGGTCGGAATACTCTGGGAGGATTGCAATGGCTGAGAATAACTCTCTTGAGCCCTGGGCAATAATTGGTGCCCCCTCGGAGGGAGGGGCAGCTTCTTGCAGGCTGACCACCTCCCAGACCCTGTAGATATGGAGGTTGGTTGTGGGGGCAGCTGCCGCCATTTGTGCCCCCTCCTCTCTGGCTCACACACAATTTCATGGGGTTCTGTTGACTTGCTTCATGTTCTTGCTCTCTTTCCTGTGGTCTTTGGCCAAGAAGGTTCCCGAGGGTCTGACGCCAGCCCGTCCCACTTGTCCCCATCGCCAGGCGCTGGCACACCAGCCCCACCAGAAGAGATCTGGGTGCTTCGCAAACCCTACGCAGGTAAGAGCATCAGAAAGGCGCTGGTGGATCAGGCCAGAAACCCATCTGGTCCAGCACTCTGGAGCTGGGGTTCAGTGGCAGGACACCTGCATTGCAATGCAGAAGGTCCTGGGTTCGATCCCCAGCATCTCCAGATAAATCTTGGCTGAAATCCTGGAGAGCTGCTGCCAACCAGTGTAGACAATACTGTGCTAGATGAGCCAGTGGTCATAATCATGAGGCAGCAGCTTTCTAAGCTCCTGGGAAGGGCTGCAGCTCAGTGGCAGAGTGCCTGCTTTGCTTGCAGAAGGACCCCAGTTCAATTCCCAGTGGCAACCCCAGGAAGGGCTGGTAACGTCTCCTGCCTGAAACCCCGGAGAGCTGCTGCCAGCCAGTGTGGACAGTATTGAACTAATGGGCCAACGGATTGACTCGGAGTGAAGCAGCTTCCTATGTTCCTGTGGGGGGAGAATGAGATATCACTGGCAACAGCTGTGTGTCTGCCATGACACCTGGTCCCTCCATCCCAAGTTTTATTTATTTGTTGCATCTATACCACACCTTTTTCTCCTCGAGGAGCCTGCTTGGCTTCTCTGCTTGGGGCTCCTTCCTCTAGCTGGCTCACAGTTCCCTTGTATGCGGTGGTCCTGGTGCTCACCCCTGGCTACCAGGCGAGTGCTTAACATGCTGCAGAGTCAAGTCAGGCTCAATTTCTTTTTTCTTGCTGCCCCTCTGGACCTTTAACCACCTCTCCCCTCCCTGTTGGCTAGGTGGTGACCGCAGCAGTGTGGGCAGCACGGGAAGCGTGGCCAGTGGGCGGAGTTCGGGGAGTGGCCAAAGCACCGGCAGCGGAGGCCACGCCCCCCTCCACCCAGGCTCGGAAGGCGTCAAGGTGAGCTTGCCTACGTTGTCTCTGCATTGCAGGGGGTTGGGCTAGATGACCCGCAGGGTCCCTTCCAGCTCTTATGATTCCACGATTCTCTAAAGGGATCATGTGCCTTGAAGCATGTTCGGAGTGAAGTTATCTTCATCAAGAGAGTCTGAGATGCAAGGATTATCTCCCCTCCCCAAAACAAAAACCCCCACATCTTGGCTTGTTTGAATCCCAGCACTTAAAATTATTATTATTATTATTCACATTTATATCCCACTGTTTTCTCTCCAAGAAGTTCAAGAGGTTCTCCTCCTCCTCATTTAATCCTCACAACAACCCTGTGGTGTAGGGTAGGCTGAAGGACAGTGACTGGTCCAAGGTCACATGCAGTGAGCTTCACGGCTCAGCTAGGATTCGAACCCAGGTCTCCCAGGTCCTAGTCCTTCACTCCAAACCACTACACCACCCTGGCTTCCAAAAACAAGCTCAGCTACGACCTAAGAAAGCTTTCTCCCTTGCAAGTTGAGTTGGGCAGCCTTCCAGAGGATTTGGACTACAGCCTTGCTGGCTGCGGTTGATGGGAGCTGTAGTTCAAAACATTTGGGAGGGGGGTGGGCACCAGGTTGGTGAAAATAGCTTTAGATACCATTGGCAGTTTTGCACGTCCTCTGCTGCCCCCTGGTGCCTGCAGCCTGCATTGGTGCACCTCTTCTGACTACTTGGCAAGCTGACCAGGGGCTCATTCCATTCCCTGGAAAAAGTGGGCCAGGAGGAGGAGGGAGGGAGAGAGAGAGAGACTTCCTTGCACTGCCCCCCCTGCCCCCCAAGCCGTTCCTTTTTCTAGATACCGGAAGCCTCTTTCAAAATTTGTACTGCAAGGCACGCATGCCAAGCAGCCGTGCCATTGTGCCACCTGTTTTCCTTCTTGTACCCAAATGAGTAGCTTTGCCAACAGAGTCTTAGATCTTTTGGGGTGGGGTGGGGTGGGGGGGCTGCCAGTTCCCCCCTGCCTTCCAGGACCCTATTTGCAGTCTCTTTCTTTTTAACAGTGTGTGTGTTTTTCTCACCCCCCCCCCCGCCTGCCATTCCTCAGCTTCTGGCAACCGTCCTCTCCCAGAAGGCGTCTGTGCAAGAATCCGGCGTGGGTGATGGGCCTGCCAAAGCACTGGAGACGCCTGCAGGTGCGTGGATGCTCACAGCTCATCCGCCGGAGCCTTTTTGGGTCCCCCCCCCTTATTTCCTTGAAGAGCTGCAGGGGAACCTTCCGAGCTAAACATGACCCTTCCTCTCTGCTGCTGCCATGCCTTCGCTTGCTTTGGTTAGTAGGGGGAAATTGGGGTGGAGTGGGGTGCTGCTGCCAGGGTGAGGTTGGTGGGGGGGGTTGGTGGTGCCTGTGTCCCAGAAAGAGCCCCCCACCCCACAATCTGGCTTCCTGGCTGTCCTCCAACCTCCAGCGAAGGAGCAATCTGGTCCCCGATTGCTGTTTATCGCTGGCTGGTCTGCCTTTGCCTGCACCCCCCTTCGAAAAAACCAATAACCCGTGTATCTGCATTCTATTTTGAGGGGGCTCTGAGCTCCAGACATCCCTTTCTGAAATACTGATGAGGACCCCGCTTCCTAGAGGTCTCTGCTAGGTCCCCCAGGCACAGGTCGCCAGGAGGTGGGTCTCGGCGGACCCCCACCCCACCCCTGAGAACGATGGTTCCTGTTCCCTTGTTGGCACAGTGAATTGAGCTTGGTGGCAGTGCGTCTTCAGAAGTGTGACGATGTTCCCGGTTGGGGAACGCGGAGATGGGCAGATGGCGGCTTCCCCCCCTTTTAGCTCTGCCTGCTTCTCAAGGGTGATGTTGCACATGTTCCTTTTCAGGCAGGACTCAGGTGGGAATGCCGAGACGGTTGCGTCCCGGGAGTGTGCGTGTCTGTGTGTGTGTCGCATTTTCAGGTTGATTTTTCCAAAGTGGAATAAGTTTCTCCTCAGCCTCGCTCTGCCACTCAAGCGTGGAGATTCAGCAGTCTGTGGAGTTCAAGGTGTGGCTCCAGGGACGTTCTCCAGCATGAGAAAGGGTTGCTTATTATCAGCCAGGAGTTTCTGTGGACTCTGAAAGGGAAGATGCAGCTTCTGGAGTAGAGTCTGTCTTTTTATTTTTTGGGTGGGGGTTGTCAGTGCTAGCATCTGCCAAGAAACCCAGGCCCCCTACCCGTCTAGCCAAAGATCTCTCTTGGAGGCTTGGGGTGCTTTCACCCCCTTGATCCAGATGGCTGGGTTGCGTGCCTGCTGGCTGAGAGAGAGCACCGATTCCTCGCTGGGGAGCTTCAAGGTCACCTTGGCTGCCATCTTGGACTGGTTCCACCCCTGCCCCGCTGTGCGGACACAGGTGCCAGGCCTCTGCTTCTGGGACAGTGACTTAGCCTTTTGTTTCCAACCCAGAATTTCTGGGGCTCCCTCTTTCTCTTTAGGTCATAGGTGAGAAACCTCAATGCACCCCCACCCCCTGGACTCCCTGCCTGGCCCTCTGACTTATCCACAGGATCATCCCTGTCCTCACTCCCCAGGCCAAACCCTTCCCTCTCCCTGCTCCGTTTGCCTGGGTGGGACATGTCATAGGATCGTAGGAAGCTGCCTCTATACAGAGTCAGACCTTTGGCCCATCTAGCTTAGTACTGTCTGCACTGACTGGCAGGGGTTCTCCAGCATTTCAGGCAGGGAGGCTTTCCCCAATCCTATCTGGAGAAGCCGGGGATTTAACCTGGACCTTCTGCACTCAAAGCAGGCACTCTGGCACTGAGCTGTGGTCCTTTAAGGAATGCAGGAAGCCATCTTTTACTGCCTCAGGCCATTGGTGCATCCAGCTCAGCGTTGGCAACACTGGCTGGCAGCAGCTCACTGTGCTTTAAGGCAGGGGTTTTCTACGTGCAAATCAGGCTCCCTTCCGCTAAGCCATTTGTGCCATTATGCTTTCCAGGCACCTGGTTGGCAAAGGTAAGAACAGCATGCTGGACCCCTATAGGCCTGATTCAACACTGATTCAACAGGCTCTTCTGATGTCATCCTTTCTGATAGGGAGGTGCCTGTGTTTGCGTAGATATAGATAGAAGCCTCTTGACTTTTGCATGGCAGGAATGCAGTCTGCTGCACAAAATGAAAACACACATTTGTTGCTGCACACACTTTTGCCTCTCCCATGGGGGTCCACGGGGCCCTGAGGCTGAAAGATGCCCCTGTCCGTGATACTTGATGCATGGACAGCTGGACACCAACCTTGCCGCTTGCTTTCATGGGAGCTCAAGGGCAATAAATGTCCTGTCTGGCATTCTTACGACAGAGAGAGAGAGAGACGCAGCTGGGAGCCACTTTCAAATGTTGCTCAGAGGTTGACAAACCAGGGGCTCTTGATGAGGCCCACTGCTCTCCCAAGATCTGAAATGTGGTGGGCAACCTGGCATCCTTGCTGTTGGCCTTTGTGTGAAGGGTCCCAGCAGGCCTCTCCGTAATGCTAATCCACCGCCTCCCTGCCTGCTTTTGTTCCAGGTTCTTCTCGGACGCATAGTTTGGGCACCTCATCATACCCAGGGCAGCCCTACAGTGAGCAGCCGAAGAAAGTGGAGCCCATGTCAGAAGGGAAGGCAAGTATGAGAAACTCGCTGCTGGGGGCTGGTGTTGTGGTATTGATGGAATAGCGCAGGCATGTGGGAAAGTAGGTGGGACACTTCCTAGCAATAGTTTTGAGGAAAAGAGCAGTCCAGGCTTTCTAGGGACTCTTGTCCAGCAATTTGAATTCATTGGTTTGGGTTTTACCAGCACAAGGGCCCACAGCTCGCAAACACACACACCTGTGCTTGTAAACTCTGAATCACAGAAATTGCAACGCGCTACACGCAGGGAGCTGGTGGCGCGACTTCTTGTGTGATATAAAGAAAGGGAACGGCCCTGTTTATTTCAGGGGTCGCCAGACTTTCTGGGCCAGTGGAATTTTGATAAAGAGCCGCAGGCACCAGTCACAAGATGGCTGCCACAGGGGCGGGACACGCCACAAAATGGCTGCTGTGGGGCTGCGCCAGCGCGAAACAGGAAACAAACAGGAAGAGCAAATATTCTTCTGTGTACTGCAGATTTTTGAGGGGAAATTTACTGAGACCTTTGCAAGCACCATTGGTTAATTGGTGTACACACCAGCACCCACCAGTGCTGCATTGGTTCATTTAAGCATCTAGCTCTCCCTTTTTCAAGGGTTCAAGGTAGGAAATTTGCAAGTGGATTTAAAATAGCCATGAATAATTGCTCATCTCCCTGCTGCCAGAGCTCAGAGGCTGTCTACCAGTGGCTATACAAGTTCCAGCTGCAGCTTTATGCCTCCAACTTCATCAATGCTGGGTATGACATCCCTACCATCAGCCGGATGACGCCAGAGGTGAGGGCTGGCAAAGAGGGAGGTGGGAGGGAGCTGAGTTTGCCACGCGGTGCAATGGCAGG